AAACCTATTTTACCAACTAATGAGGCTATTTTTTTAAAAGGTAGGACAGAAAATGACTTCTATACTTTTAAAATTTGTCCAAAATTTAGGAGGTCTTTAGACTGAGCCAACTATAGTATTATTTCTGTCTGGGAATTCTGACGACAAGTATAATCTGCATAAATTTTGGCCAATCATTTTGTTTTGATGTTTTTTCTAGAGTATTTGTTGCACAATGAATCTAGATCATCAATTATCACAGTATTTATAAATTCCAAATTTGGAAATCTCCCTGACTGAAATAACATGAAAACTTCTTAAATTTCCATAATAAAAGGTATTGTTCCATTATTATGAGTTATTCACTCCAAATCATTACTAGTCTAAAGTTACTTACTACTTAGTAAAGTTGCTCATTTCTCAGTATTACTTGGAGGAGTCTAACATGTAATTTTTCTAGTTTCTTATGTTTTACATGTAATAAGTTATAACTCCAATTTTTGTTAATAAAATTTTATTTATTTAGCATTTGAAAATGTCAAGCAAATATTGGTATAAACAATTAATATTAGTTCTTTTGACAAAATCCAAATCAATTGAATGCAATGAAAGTATATCGAGGTTTAAACAGTTCATACATCTTATGACTAACAAACCCTAAAGGCATGGATCCTGATTTAGAAAGTGAAGACAAAGTATGGGTTCTATTGTTTCCTGGTTATTCAATCTTAACAAAAAAGAATAAGCTCATTCAATTGTCTATCAATGTAAAAAATGACACAGAGCTGCAGTATACACTTGATAATTTTGAAGCTGATCATATATTCACTAATTTGAAAGAAATAAAACATTATAATTATATGTTTACAACATTGAGAGATGAATTAGAAGTCAAGGAAAATTATCTATTTACATGCAAAAAGTAATTGAAAAATATCCATCATTGATAAATTTTTTAGATATTAGCAATGCTGCAGCAGAAGAAAGTGTTCAAAAGGGCTTGCTCTTTTGGTATCAAGCAATTATTGACTTGAATTATATGAAGTAAATTGGGAATGTAAAAAAAAAATAAAAAGAACATATTGTGAATTAAATAAGTTAGATGATGATGATAAAATACATCATCAAATAATAAAGAAGAATCGAAAATTCTGTTAATAAATCATTGAAGGCAATAATTTAGACTTGATGATATTTATGTCCACATAAAATTATTTGAAATTAATACTAACATTCCCTTGCAATCATTGTGGCAACTTAGATCCAAACTCAAAAGAACCAAGAGTTAAAGCCTGGAGCCTTTATTTATTAATTATAATCTGGTGCTGGTTTTTGGATATCAGATTCAAAAATTACAGGTGTTGTTGAAGATGCTGAGGAAATGGTTTATTCTTATTCTTTGGATTATTATTTGTAATATTATTATTTTATCTATTAATTTACCACGTTATTGATTTTCTTACCCTTAAATTGGTGGGATTAATATAAAATTTATTATAAATAAGTTCAAGTGATTAATTCTTTTTCATTTAATAAAACACTTGTGGTCAGAAATTAAACAGTAGGATTTAAATAATTGTCAAAGTGGTATAAAACTCTGAGGTCTCAGTTATTTTCTTTAGTGAGAAAGCAAAAATTTAATTTTAACGTTGATTAACCAGTTTAATGTTAACAACAGGTAGTAAGGTTTTTGCTTAGTAAAGAATCAAATGTTCAATTATTGTTTACGTTTTTGTAAAGAGTTTAAGTGTAAATGTAAGATGTAGCTGTTTGGCAAAAGTATAAAGTGTTAACGATTGTTAACCAAATTATAAAGTGCAGACATTTATTAATCAAAGTTGTTATTAAAAGAAAAATGGTCTGAGTAACTAAGCTTTTAAGTGGCCAAGGAAGAGTAAAAAGTAAATAGTAAATAAAAAAGGAACCTTAGAAAAGCCATTGTCGTTTTCTAAAAGGGCTATTTTTATTTATTGTGAATCGTACCATGCTTACAGATCACTGAAGCTTTCTAGGTACAAGTAAGAGGCAGTAAGCAGGATAAATATAAAGGCTTGCAACTAATCGGCGAGTGTTCATTCAAATTCGGCATAAACAATTGGTATTAACCAAAAAACTGCCTCACAGCATCCATTATTGCTGCATAAAATCATCATCCCTATACCCATGTAATATACATAATAATATTATTGATCTAAAAAATTACTTTTAATTCATGACATTTACAAAATTTCATATGAACTATTAGAAAAAAATATGAAGTAGTTAAAGATAGGTTTTGCAAAATAAAATTTTGATGGAAGAGAACTAAACTAGATGGGTTGAAAATCTTTGGGGTAAATTAATAGATATTCTTTTAATTTTTACAACAAAAAATCCCCCAATACATTTATTATTTTGAGAAAGGTGTTACAAATTTAAGTTTTATTTGTAAGTGTTTCAATGAGATAATCGTTACTTTGTCTGAATTGACTAGTTACAAAGTTTCTATTTTTTTTATTATTTTCTTCCAATTGATCAGCCATGAATTTATTATTAGCATCCAATTGATTTTTTAATTCCATATAATTTTCTTGTAAACTTTTAAAATCATTCTTGATTTCTTCATATTGTTTTGACAAATCCTTTTTAAATTTTTGTA